TTAATACCGAATGGGATATTAGTCTCGAAACAGCATTTTGCGTCGAATCGCTTTCCAAATTGTTGCCACAAAATATCATCGCTTTGTATTATATTTAAAGAAATTAAGTTAGTTAACGATCCTAATTCCAATCCATCTTTGCCTTCGGCCTTTAAAGAAATTATGTTTTAGTTCTAGTTTCACCAACAGATGGTGCCACTTGCTTATTCTTGTCCAGGCTTTCTTATCTTATCTAATCATTATTTCCTAACTTGTTCATTTGCGGTTTTGCAGCTGAGGATGGTGGTTCGGTAAAACCATCGAAACTAGTCCTGTGAAAATTTTGTAAAATATAACGCTGATTTTTGTTGTTTGACTTCTGAATTAGTATTTATTCGGCGTGTTATTGTGTCTTAATTAACATAAAACATGTATAAGCCAAACATCTATTTAATGAAGTCGCAGAATCCCACGAAAAACTTCGCACAATGGAGGAATTTGGAAAATGAAGGATATGATAAAACACGATTGAAGATGAGAAATGTTCTTAATTTTAAATGAAAATAGTAGTAAAATGAAATATAAATGCAAAACTACGTGAAAATGTGTACTACATTTTGATATACTAAATTATATATTTTAGAAAATACCGAATTTTATGGCAATGTTTTTCTTATTTAGACCATTATCCACTTCGTCGAGAATCAGCATTTCTTTTTCCTTAGATGTCAGAAACTTCCGTTTCAGCACTTTATCATTCGATACACAACTTGCTTTAAAAAGATATCCAGGATAAAACAACAAAAGCAGAAATAATGTGCGATTGTTGTTTAACCTTAAAATGGTTTGCGAAACAGTATTAATTGTGCGTCTATAGTGAGTGGGATTTCAATATAATTGCCGTTGCCAAAGTTAATTATAGTACGTAATGTTAATTGCCAAGTGTGTGTGGATGAAAAGGCTCGCCGCTTTGACTAGCTAGATGGTAATAATGAACACGGTCAAACAAATGCAGTTGCCAGTTCATTGCTTAACAATGAAGAATAAGCTGTCGCACCGTCCAGAATCATCTCCTCATTAAGGGGTGCTTAAAGCCACTGATTTTTATACTTAGATATCTCTGATCAAAGCACGTGCACGTCATAGTTTGTACACACTTCGTGTCATAGTTGGTATACGCCTTTCGTCAGCAGAAAGTTTAGGCGGGTGCTGGTAGTAGGATCATACGAAGGGGGCTGTTTACATGAGAAGAAACTTATCTTCTAGTGCGTTTGTGATTGTTCCTTACAGTTTAACAATACAAGAACCTAATGTCAAATCATACGCACTTTTTCACCTACATCATCTTCAGGATATCTGTACTTACGATAAGACAATTTACCGGCTCATCGTTGCCGAATGGTTCGCTGAAGATTCACTCTAGCCTAGACCCTGAGGTCATTCCCACTGAACCCACTGAATCCCACTGAACACATCTGGAATGCTATCGAGAGAAATGTGAGTGGACAAAACTCTGCTCTTGACATCTTCTGCTTTATGAGAGACTGTGCAGCAGATATGGATTAGTATGGCTTCATGATTTTGTGGAATTCATGCCATGCCATATCAATGTCGTAATTAAAGCGAAAGTGTATACTGAACGCTAATAAGCAGATATTGCTGATTCAGTTGCTTATTTAATGCATTACGAATACAGAGTTCTACAGCGCAAAATAATTTTAATTTGTAATGCTTTAATAGTCGATATTTCGAGCAAAAACTAGACAAAAGCGAACTCCGACCCTTCAAACAGACCATTCAAATATTCCAAAAATGTGAATAATTAATTATAATTGATTTTACATGCCTTTACCTGAAGACCTAACTCGTTCAACTTAGATTCATTGTAATACAACATAATAAGAGTTTTATTTATTAATTTAAAATTTGTTAATACTTATTTTATTTCACCAATAATTATACAGTTAAGAAAGTAAATTATTTTAATCTACATTACACAAAAAGCAGAACATAGTTTTTCGACAAAATAAAACAATGAAATCATTTTTATTTGCACAGCTGCCACTTCTGTCTCCGCTACATCCAAACAATAAAATTTACTTTTATTTATGTAAGACTTAAATTTAGACACAAAATTTATTTTATTTTACATGAAAATTATTTCAAATAATTAAACTATAGTTAATCAAATTAAATGAGAAATTACATTTATTTGATTAATCACCGATATTTTAAGATGAAAGTTTCTTTTGCGGAGAGGAAATTGACATAACATCACATATCTGTTGAGCTTATATTTTTAAAAAATAAGCATTTGTCGTAGATAATTTATGACTTATGGAGCAAACAAAACAGTAGGTCTAAACGAAATAAGTAATAGGTTCAGTTGTTCAGATGAATATACACATCGTGCGTGTTCCTGTCAGATAATTTAATGGCTTTAAAAATGAGTTTTAATCATTATTTCTCTATTTTATTTAAAACAACAAAAAGAATTATACAATCGTAAAGAAAGTAAACAAGAACAGTTAGCAATCCCACCAAAAGAAAAAGTAACAGACTGATGTTACAAACGTTAAAGTTCTAAAGGAATGGTACACCGATTTTTTTTAATTACGCTCTAGTTTAAGAAAACTCACGTTAAAAGTAAGTTTTTCGCTCGCTGCAAACACTAAATAATTCTGTATTTATGCCTGGAAATGATATGTCGTCAAAAAATTCTCTTCGTTAAAGCTTAAGCTTTCGTGTCATGCATTCCAAACTCTGCAAGATGTCTAACCTTCGACACGTTTAGTCAAATTTCGGAAAATGCATAAATTACTCTTTGGAATTCAGCCACAATCCATGAAAGAGCTGTTTTATGAGTAATTTTATTCTAACTTCTGACACATTTTATATTTGACATCTTGCGGCGTCTGGAATGCATAGTACAGAAAACTCCAATGGTGGAGCTGGACGACGCGGGTTACAGAAAACATATGCAAAACCTGTCTGATGATATACTGCATTTAATGAAAACAACCTCAAAGAATATTTCGCCTTTTAAAAGAATATCTTCGCGTATACTTATTAACACGAATGTAATATAAGAATACCCAAAACAGAAAATTCACCTAACTCTTTTTCATAAACCGCATAAACATTTAAGACGAAAAAGAAATAAAGCACACTTATAATAACTTTAAAACTTGATAAAATGGCAACAATTAATTAATAACATATTCATACTTAAATGAAACATTCAAAGACCACAGACGCTCAGTTCTTTTCTTGCATCGACCCCTTTTAACATAATGGCTTCATCGACTCCTTACATTTTTCTTTCTAACGTATACCTTACGAACGTCATCATAATACAAAAAATTTAAAGATGACAATTAAACTAAGAATATGAACAAAAGTTTTGAAAAAATGATTTGTCAGGCTCATTGTTTATTATTTCTGCAATATTATTGTTTTCATTTTACAAATATAAACAAGTTCCCAAATCGCACATTCTAAATACACAGAAGTTTAATTTTAGTATTTTTTTATATTTGGTATAAATTTGGTATTGTTTAGCTTAACATTTATATGGAATTAATGCTTTAACATTGGAATGTCCTCTGTTTTATACACCATGCGGATGCTCCACTGCAGTACGCTGGAGCTCGTCGGGGGTTCGAATCCCAGCGAATATTTTGACTGCATGGGCGTTTCGTGGTTTTCCCCCAGTGTAATGTGTATACCAACCAGTTTCCCTTAGAAAGTCTTCCGCGAAGGCACCTCTCTTCTTGAGCAGAGAGCCCTGCTTTGCCACAATTAAATAATGCTTGTCACATGCTTTTACATAATTAAATAAACCAAACCAAACCTTATTATATGATACAGTTTTATATCATTAAGCAATTAATTATCAATTTTATTAATATTTTTTCCTTGTAACCAGTCGCATCTTGATTATGCCATCAGTTGTCGATTCATATTCGTTCTTAGACCCCCTGATAGAATTCTTGATCATCACTAACCTCCTTTAAAATGTTACTGATCCTCGGGAAGTCCAAATCGACCCCGTTGGAAACTCCTATTTCGTTCAATGATTATTTTGCTTATAAGTAGTCAAAATATCGTCTCGAAAAAAACACAGCATCCTATAAAGATCTGGACGTCCGTCACATTAAGTTTAGTGATGGATACTAATGCAATTTTTGATGATAACCGATAAAAGTGTTATTCCCTGGCAAGGAAGTCAGACCCAAATATTTTCGATATGATGGGACTTGAATAAAACAGATAATTTAATAATATGAAACATTAACCAGCCTAATGCTGCGAAAGTTTTAGTTAAAAATACGAAAGAATTAAATAAAATCTAATAATAAGTTTCTAACAAAGCACTTATTTTTTAACTGAAGCATTTCTTGAAACTGTTGAATAATTTGAGCTTTTATTCAATAAAGACCGTATCGGAAATTAGGCTTCATATTTTCAGAATCATCGATCTTCACAAACGTTAAGGTGCTTTAATAAAACTCCGTATTTCATTTTGAAAAATCTGTAATTGGAAGTATGCGCTTTGCTTCAGTGTTTAAGAAAATGATGTCTATATCATTTTTTTCGAACACTCGGTATAATATACAAAAAGTTATCACGAATATTGAGAATGCAATTTAATGAGTGCGTTAAACATAAGCTTCACACATAACCAAAATCTTCTGCCCCATCTCTTAGATTGATAGATGATTAAATTACAAAACTTTCCCTTCAATCAAAAAGATAAGCCAGAATGAAATCATTTTTTAATACTTGTATTTTTGTAAGCAGGCATATTTATCCCTTAAACTCAAAATTTTATTAGCTGTAATATGTTCCAATCATTGCTGATTGATAGTGACTGAAGTTAGATATTGAGCTACATAATTCTTTTTTGATATTTATACGTTTCTCATCTCTATGGCTACGAGATCCTGAAATTACTCTAATTACCCTTTCTGTTACAGGGGCTAAAATTATCATAAATTTACAAAAAATCATTTTCTCACCTCGGCTTTTTCGGTGGACGTGACGATATTTTTATCTTCCATCGTCCTATACTGGATATTGTCTTGCCGGTTTCTCATGTGGAAGAACTCTTCACAAACGACCCAGGTGAGCAGAGCGAATAGAAGTAACCCAGTCTCCAAGAAACTTTTCTGCATCCTGAGACTCAGTCCTTCTGCTCAGTCTGAAGACATCCAAACCGTCAGCTGCTTTCACCTCGCTCCAGAAGGGGAGACCCGCTGCGAGAATCCAGATTCTCAAATGCATGGAACACACAGTTTATATAAGTATGCATAAAACATGATATTGGTTTCACTAATGTCAAGACAAACTTTCCATTCCCCCCCACGAGTAGGACTATTAGAAAGATATGAATATGATATTGAGTAACGCACTCTTGTTTCGAAAGAATCTGGCTTTAACTGGAAACCATTTTGCTTTCCAATCAAAGCCAGATACTGGAAAACATTCTGCTTTCCAGTAATCCATTTTGAGAAAAAAAGATTTTAATAAAGGATTTAAACTGTTTTTAATGTTATCCTGCATACCGAATTTAAGACCAGCATTAAAAATTATGTATTACGTGCAAATTTGTTCAAAAAAGTAACCTTTTGCATTATGTAAGGTAAATTAAAGTTTGTCTAGGACGATTATAAAGTACAAGCAAATTAATTGTAAAGAACTTTATACGGCTTAATACATATATATAATAGATTAAAATTTTAATATTAAGATAAATTACACACTTTTAAAACACTGACATAAGTTTAGATTGGAATGGAAAGCTGGCAGAAAGACGTTTCTATTAATTCCTCTAAAAATATTAAAGTTAATTCCTTTATTTAATGGAATTAATACAAGGATAAATTTTGCCTATTCTTGAAGCCTCTATAGACGGAACTGTTTCTCTTCCGTCTATACCATATATGATAATCATCATTCTGCTAGCCAGTCATTTGAAATACTGTTTAGTTTATAATCATTTCAAGCTACATATTATCAAAGATAGAAAACAAAATTTTGCATTACTTGTTTTACTATAAATATTGAGATAAACTAATAGAGACTGAAATCGATGTCAGTTAGAAAAAGAATTTCTTAACGGTGTCAGTTAAAAAAAATATTTATATAAATTTATATCTTTTCATTTTCTAATCCAGTAATCATTCTAATAATCCACAAAAATTGTCTCTATTTGAGATTATTTCATTTTTAGCACATAAAGTAGCATATGAATAGGATTTTGATCTATCCCAAATGTTAAACTGCAAATTATTTGTGTTATACTTGACCTATAGATGCTTTAAACTAATTTATTTCCTTTATCAACATTAAAATAAACGCTTATGGAACTTAGAATTTGCTGCAAATGAAAGACAGTATTTTTGTATAACACTGATGAATCTGAAGAGACTGCTAAGATTTCCTGTGTAGGAAACATGAAAAATTACCTCGGGATTCCATCCATGATCTTCCAATTGCCAGCTGGCAGTGCTAATCACTGATATCACGTGAGCACCCAGGGTGAATGTGATAATTCTTTATAGTCTCCCTCACTTTGAAGAAAGAGTTATGGGTATCTGACAGGAAAGGGATACGTTCGTGGAAGATTTTTTAAGGACAACTGCCCTTGTACCTATGTTACACATAAGAAAATAAGAAAAACACGAAAATTCCCATGGAACTAGCATTCGATGCTCATCGAGTTTCCAAGCTACGCCGAAATAATAGTGTTCAACAAATTTACTACTTCACTGATAGTTGAACTTCTCTCTCAGGTAACTAGTGAGACAGGCACGAAACTCAATCGGGCATATCTAAGTGCAAAAAAATTAGCATCCACTACCTTTCCGTTCAGGGACGACTACAGACATCATCAGATTTCTTACAGCTGAAAACATGAGAAATCATTTATCCTCAAATATCGCCAAATTATTCACTTAATTACGCACTTGCTCGCTAATCAAATCCTACATTACTTGCATTCACTGACTAGCCTAGAAGATATAGAAGTTGCATGAAAGAATTCGCATTCGTTTAACACGTTAATTACAATAAGGCTTGCAAATCCACTTTTAAAAATATGTTTTTAATTTGGTTAATGACAACATGAAAAGCATTTCATGAAGAAGTGATTCGTTTTTACGATGTAAGTATGTTAAGGTCTAGACAGAATTTCTAATTTTTTGATTAGCATCCTTTCTGGATAAAGCGAATTATGCTTGTTCATACAGTTTAAAGTTCAATAAATAAATAACTGCATGAGTAAGAACTAAAGCATTTATAGGTAATGTAAAAATAGGTGCCAACGAAAAAATGTTAAATTGACTCCTGAAAACGTGGAACTTATGTCAGACTGCCTCGTAGATCATCAGTGCATTCACTTCCAATTAATTACAGTAATCTTAAGATAAATTGATGTACAAACCTAGAATGATAATAAATAAACTATCTATCGATACAGGCAGGATCAAATTCTTATATAAAGCTGATTAATTTCGGAAATTATAAGGTTCCTAACAAATTATTTTATGATTTAGCTCTGTACTATAACTTCTCTCTTCCGTTTCCCTACCAGAATGTAAATTTGTTCCGACAGTACGTAACAGGGGTGGTCGAACTTCAAGATGATAGGAGCCGCATGGTAGATTTCATGAACGTTCGAGAACCGCAAATCTAAATTTATACCATTTCAAACATAATAAAACAGGTTTTTAAATATTGACCAACATACTTAGACAAAATCTAACTTGAATAATTCAAGTAATTGAATTAATTCATTAGATGAGAAATAGATTATAAATTATAGTTCTTTTAATCTAAGATTGATACATTCGCATCCCCAGATCTCGGTCTTCAAAAAAATTTAAATTCAAACATCGAATCTTAGAGCTTTTTCGAACCACCATCCTTCGAAACTTTTGGATCTTAACTTAAGAAATTTCCTGTAATAAACTAAGAAATCATTAAATATTTTAACCCGAAATTTTGAAATGACTCGTTTTACTGATACTCAGACTAGAGAAGAATTCAGTAAAAAAAAGAACATGATTGCAATTTCAATGGTACCTGGATCATCAGTATCACTCATGACGTCTCTGCTACACTAATTCAGAGTGGCATCCAGCAAAATCTGCCAGAATTTTTAAGTAATCAGGTTTCTGCGTTCCACTAGAAACTCTATCTCGAATCATCCGATAATTCTGAGCATAGATAGTCTATTGCTAATAAATCTAGCAATTCTTGCCGAATTATCCAAACGCTTCGTCGAGCACATATTCCAACTGTCTACTCTCAGCTATAGCTGTTAAATTTTGAGTTGTGTTTGAAATGAAAGGGAAATCAAAGCTAATGGTAAAGGAAAGAAAACATAGCTGTGACTAAAATAATAACGAATAAAAATTAATTCACTGAAGAAAATAGCGAATTTATTTCGCAAATACATATATAACACGAACGTATAACTCTCCATATCTTCTATGGACATGGATAGATGTTCGATACGTGCAGGCCTTTTGTGACCCGGCAGGCGCTCCCGCTAGAGTTTAGTTCCTGAGTTCTTGCCAAAGAGCTGTACGGATCCACTTATTCTGTTAACTATTAGATGCATAAAGGCAGTAAAATGACTCAAGTTTAAAACAAATACTTTCTTTGTTTTATTGTCAGCCTAACGCTTGTACAACCTGTGTATATAAAATAAATCTGAAACAGAGTTTGAAGGCATATGAGGATACTTTATAAAATTAAAGATAAGAGTTAAAAAATTAAAGTTTACGTGGCTAAACTCCAGCCAAATTTCACATTATTGCAATTTTCATGTGAAATTTGTAGTGATTAAGCAATGGACCATAGCAATGTACGATTAAGCAATGACCATACAACTTTTCATTGGGTTACTAAGCTTTCGTGAAAGACGTGTCAGACGTACATGATAATCGAAAATTAAGTAAACAAAAATATCAACAGATTAAAGAAATGTAATGCTGGCATAAGGGAGACTGAGAAGAGAGACTTCTATACTGAGAAGTAGCACTAAAGAAAAGAAGTTCATCGGATAACATACGAGAGAAAATACCACAAATTAAAGCGATTTCACCAGCATCAGTACGCAGTACTTTGACAGAAGCTTTGCAGAAGACAGACGTTTGTGTTCAATTGATCCCTCATTGCTTCATGCAAAGTTATTGATATGATGAAGGTGAAAGATTTCTATCTCGAATAAGAACAACTGATAAAACGTGAATTAAAAATATTGACTTGAATTAAAATTTCGATTTGACGTCAATCTAGTAGTTTACCCGGCAATTCCAAATAATATTTCAGCATACTTAACCACTGGCGAAATAAATTATGATCAGTACCTAGGATTACCAAGGAATTATTATGAAGAGTTTTCATGTGGGAAAAGTATTCATTGCAGTTTATTACTTTATGTGGTTATTACTTACGTGGTTTATTAGTTTTTTTTTTTTAGATTATTTGAAGGAACTGTATAGAAATAACTTGACTTGCTTAGGAATAGGGAACTATTTTTGAAGGATACGCACTGAAACCTGAGCCAGGTCTTCTAACCAAATACAAACGGAAAGGTTTACCTCACCAAAAATAAAATCCTCGGATTTAAAATTCTTTGCAGGGCGAAAAGAGGTTTCCTTCAGTAGTTACTCGAGCCATTCAAGGATTGAATAAAAGTAGTACACCCTAACGAATAGCAAATCATCTAAGTGGATCACAACTGTTGTAAAGAATAGGATCACGCAGAAGGAATATAAACTCAAATTGCCTTGAAATAAAAATAACTTGAAAAAAAAAAATAGAGAACATTGCTTTTTTTAGATTAACTTTGTATATTTTGTACTATTCCGATGACCATTACTTACTGCAAACGTAATATGACTGGAATATTGATTGAAAAAAATGGAATTATCTGCAATTTTAGTTGTTACTCTGATAATAAGCCTGAGATGGACAGTTATTTGAAATAGATTAAACTATTACATGCATAATATAAGAAATGAAATTAACAGTTAATAAAGAAACGTATCATTGCACGATTTCTATTTCGAATTCCATTTTAATTTCCAAAACTAAATTACTATTTGCTGAAAACAAATCGCAATACAGAGGAAAAAGGCCGCAAGTAGCTCGTAAACTGCAGTTAAGATTTCGGAGAGCCGCAGTTTGTCCATGTCTGATACATAACGTGAGATTTTTCGGATTGTAAAAGAGCGTGTTTCTG